ATAAATCGTTGGAGGAACTACAACACTTATTTTCATAGTATACGTACAATATTTTTAAATTTTGGTTATTGAATTTATTAGGGAACGTTTAAGTGAACCACGTGACTGAAGAATTCCTTATACCTTACTTCAAATCGAGTGGGAAATGTGAAAGCAGACTTCTTGACTTTACGACAAAATTTTGTCCATTGATTTTTACGGTTGTTCTAGAATATGAAGTAAAACTATTCCTTGTAAGTCATACGAGGGTGCCTTAAAATCCACAATAACGTGAGCTCACGCGAAGCTGAAGCAACAAGGTTGTTGCTATGTTACGTGAAACGTACAAGCTGACGTTTCACTTAAACGCTGTAGTAAATCTCTCTAATAAAAGCTTGCTCGTAAGCTATTGGACCTGTTTAGTTACTTCTGTAAAACTCGGTTTCTCGTTTCTGGTAATTAGGCACTTCTGACTATCAAAATGTACACCGATTCAAAGTCTTGAATACTCTGATGGGAGCTGTCTTTGGCAACCTCATTACCAACATTGTAAATGAGTATATTTATCTCTGATAGCCTCAGGATCGCGCAAAAAAAATAAAATAAGGCCTGGTGGTGTTATATCGTTCTCAAATATTTGGCGCTAATGATGGAATATTTAGAAAAGATTTGATTGGTTTATTGAGTCGAGGTTGTCTCTCAGTGTTGGTGGGCGTATCAATGAGCGCTCATGCGCATGCTCATGCTCATGCTCTCCGCTCTTGGCACACGCGTCTCTTACCTACATCCCACGCTTGATGCCTGAAACACGTACCTTTCTTTCTTTATTTACTGTTCGTCAATAATCAGGGACAGCTTGATATTTGAGTCTGTGAAAAAGTTGGTCGATCCCGATCCTAAATCGTACGTTCCCTTATCGAACCAGGACCTAGACGGGAATATCTCTTCAGGTACCATGGATTTTCACTGTATGATTTAAGGTTACTACCCACCTTCGCGGGTGTCCTTCGGGAAAAACCTCGTACGTGCGCTAGTTTTAAGAAAATCCTAGCAAAATATACATCAAATTAAAACTTAATTACTGCAGTTTACGATACGGGTATAATTTAGGCGATGTCTTCATTTAGGAAGCGTCTGGAGCCGGTAAGGCGTCAAACGACAAAGAGTTCTATTGAATTTTGTCGGGTATCGGATTCCGCAGCACGAGTTTTCAGGCCATTCATCTCACCTAGCAACAAATGGAATAAAGCGATTGCACTGATAAAGAGTAAGATAACTAAAAGCCTTCCGATTGGACTCGGAATTTCAAACGGGGGTCTCGCAAAGTGGCTGCACAGTCTTATTCACAAGGCATCAATCAACAAAAGTGTGTCAAGCTCTTCCGATATTCTCATTAAGTGTCTAAATATCCGCATCTAAAAGTTAGAATAACGTAAGATTTGCGAAACGTGTTTCGTAAATGGGTGACCACGTGAAAAATATTTAAAATATCAAAATTTCCTGACACTCTTTCGTTCTTCATTATCCCAGAAATGTTTGGGCAAAATTGGCAAAGGGAAACCCGCGGGGAAAAAAGGTAAAGCTGGAGAAACTGCTAAAAAGCAAAATAGCGAATCGACCGACGGCTTCAGTAATACCCTTGTCGCTGGTTTCCTCGGGTAGGTTTCTTCATGATTTCATACGTTTTGAGGAGATTATAATAATAATAATAAAGACTT